CTTCATCTTTCGTATTTATTTTTACTATGTGATCACTGTATTGAATTGCTCTAACTTGTATGTTTCTTTCCCAATGTGAATTCAAGTTGATACAATGTATATCTCTAGATCTTTTCTATATCCTCTTAAAGATGATCCTTTATTCCGTACTACCTATGATAAGATGCAGCACATAGTCAACTGGCTTAAAAGTAAGTAAAATGAGATACCAAAACTCAAGTGTACACATTTGCAGTCATTGGTAAACCTGGTTTAGGTTTATAGAAGGCAGCATGGAGACTACTATCTATCTAATAACAGTTTGAATATTCATAACTAGTCATCCATGCCAACTCTTTTATGACGCCGTGCCATTCATTACCATACGGGGCACTCCTCCTTATTGTGCCTTTATCTTTCAAGACACAATTTACTATTCAACAAATATGAAGCAGTGAAATCAGTGTGTGCTCGTGTGTATACATGTATCTTTGCCTTAACATGGGCCTAAACCTAAATTCCATGAAGGCTGTAAACAGAAAAAAAATTACCCCACTTTTGACCATTATTTTCATGGCTCCCTGAAATAAAATAGAGTCTGTTTATTCTTAATGTTTTTATGATTTAGTGATATCCTATAGAATAATTCAATTTCACAAAGGCAGTGAACAATAGATGTGGTAGAAGGGCCTGAAGGGAAGAAATGGGTTAGAGAGAATCAGTAAAACTAAAAATATAACACCATCGGACTTCCAAAGCAAAGCCAGCTATAATGGAGCAGAAAGCATCAGGGGAAATCTCTTATTTCATTCTGGCACTGAGGGCAAAGAAATTTTACTTTTTAATTTCTTGGGGACAAATTGACTTTGTCAACACAGCATTTTTATTTTTACCACATCATTTAAAATTGTATTTACAGTTTTAAAAGAAAAACTTTAGAAAAATTAAATTTAGCAGAGTTTATTTGAGGAAAGAATTATTCATCTATTGGGCAGCCCTCAGAACCAGGAGAGGTTCAGAGAGCTCCACTCAACATGGGGAGGCAGTATTAGGAAAAGGAAATGACATACAGAAACAGCTTGATTGGCTACAGTTCAGTATTTGCCTGATATAGACACTCTCTGATTGGTTGACAGTCTGTGATTGGCCAAAGCTCAGCTGCTGTGATTGGCTGAGGCTCAGCAACTCCTTATAAGAATATGCTCTTTAGTTAGGCTGCAGTTTGTTATGTGCAGAGGCTGCTTTAGGCCAAATTTAATTTAATTTAGCAAGAGTTCTATTATCAATGCCAATCTGTAGATTCTTATAATTAAATCTGTATTTGTCTAGTACTCCTTTCGTGAATCCAAAAATCTAAAAATCCGTGGAAACTATTTTTATTATCCTTGGGTGACAGAATATTACCAGACCTTAATGAATTTGGTGATGAAACCAAATTGACAAAATTATTTAATTTTCATTTATCCCACTTCTGGCAAATATTTATACATTTTGCTGCTCAAACAATGTTTGGATACAGAGGGAAGTTCTGGACTACTTGGACATGTGATATACTATATGGATCCTATTATTTGACTAAAATTCAAAATTTTCTGAAATTGGAAGCCTATCTGGCCCTAACGATTTGCAATTAGTAATTGTGGATCTGAGCTCATTTTCTCTTTTGATTTTATCAAGGAGAAATTCTAAATTATGTGCTACAATCTTGAAAATATTTCTTTAGTACCTTGAAGTTTTTGAATGCCTCTATCATGAAGGAAGTAGCTGAGTCAGGTTTTTAACAAAGGAGAACTCTGGATACAAATTACACAAAAGGACTGAAAATAATTTAAAACATGATGAAATATGAAGGAGCACAATTCAGAACTCAAGAATGTGAAGAGTTGTATATATTTTATTCTTTATCATAAGTATGTGCTGAATGAATATATGTATACACTATATATATGCACACACATATACATATAAAATGTACGCATGTAAATATTTCATCAGTCTAATGACAGACTTGGAAATCAGAATTGTAGTTGCTGAATGTGTATGCGTATGCCTCATGCCTTTTTCTCACAATAGATCACAGTAGCAATTCAAAAAATGATGCTAAATCCAGTGTGGTGACTCTGATGAAAAAAAAAAAAAAGATGCTTATTATAGATGTAAATACCCATACACACATAATCTCTACCCATCAGACTACTGGCCTTCAAATTTTTTTCCAATGTAATTATAGAAAATTAGTACTTTTCAGTATTTTATCCAGTAGAGTTGCTGGAGTATTGGTTCCCAATGTATGGTGCCAACTTCCTGAGCGATAGTTTTTGGGTGGTTATTGTGTACCTGAGTAATTCAGAAGGCATCTGAGTTGTACACAAAGCAGCCTGTGTTGGGAGTAGAGTGAGTCAGGCACAAGTCCTCTGCTTTATGCTGTGCTCTGACTCCCAGGAAGTTCCACTTTTTTTTTTTTTTTTAATTTTTTTATTTTGTTTGTTTGCTTGTTTTTTGAGACGGAATCCCTCATTGTCACCAGGGCTGGAGTACAATGGCGTGATCTCGGCTCACTGCAACCTCTGCCTTCCGGTTTAAACGATTCTCCTGCCTAAGCCTCCCGAGGAGCTGGGATTACAGTCGCCCGCCACCATGCCCAGCTAATTATTTTGTATTTTTAGTAGAGACAGCATTTCACTATGTTGGCCAGGCTGGTCTTGAACTCCTGACCTTGTGATGCACCAACCTCGGCCTCCCAAAGTGGGAGGATTACAGGCATGAGCCACCGCGCCTGGCCTCCGCCTGCCGTCTTTAAGGAGCAAGTCTGGGTCATCACTGTTACAAACAGGGCAGGGCATGGGATTTGGACAATCAGCATTTACTTAGGGTCCACCATGTGCTGAGATCTGAAGACGACACTGGGAGCTGTTTCAGTGTTACTAGCAGACAGAAAAGTCTTTTTCTGCAAGAACTCACAAGATAAGCAGAGAACAGGGCAACCCCATATTAAAGGGATTATCTAAGGTATATGAATAAAAGAGCATTGATAGTGTTATTAATATACATTATGAATGTCAAATTCAATAACATATTCAGATGAAAACTATCAAGGCCTGGACTTGCTGAAGGCACTCTTTTCACCTTTGCTTTTGGTATGCAGGTAGGTATTGCAGAATCTTCTCTTTATAGAGGTTAAGAAGATGCTGTAACGGAAAAAGGATTACAGAGCACAGCTAAGTTCCCATCTAAAGTTGGTGCCACAGCAAAGGAATCAATCAACAAAGTGAAGACACCAACCTGCAGAATGGGAAAAAAGTACTCAAACACTACCCATCTGCAAGGGGCTAACAACCAGAATATATAAGGAGCTCAAACAACTCTACAGGAAAAAATCTAATAATATGATTTTTAAATGCTCAAAATATCTGATAGGCATTTATCAGAAGACATACAAATGGTAAACGGGTATGTGAGAACTGCTCAACATCACTGATCATCAGAGAAATGCAAATTAAAACTACAAAGTAATATGACTTCACCCCAGTTAAAATGGCTTTTATCCCAAAACAGGCAATAACAAGTGCTGGTGAGGAGGTGAAGAAAAGGAAACCCTCATACACTGTTGGTGGGAATGTAAATTAGTACAGCCACTATGGAGAACAGTTTGGAAGTTCCTCAAAGGAGCAAAAATAGGACTGCCATATGATCCAGCAATCCCACTGCTGAGTATATGCCCCAAAGAATGGAAATCAGTCTATCGAAGAGGTATCTGCATGTCCATGTATATTGCAGCATGTTTCACAATATCCTAGATTAAGAAACAACATAAGTGTCCATCAACAGACAAGTGGATAAAGAAATGTGGTACAGGTGCAGAATAGAATTCAGTCAACGGAAAGAATGAGATCCTGTCATTTGCAACAATATGGATGGAACTGGAGGTCCTTATGTTAAGTGAAATAAATCAGGCACAGAAAGACAAATTTCGTATGTCCCCACTTATTTGTGGCAGCTAAAATTGAAAACAATTGAACTCATGGAGATGGAAAGCAGAAGAATGGTTACCAGAGGCTGGGAAGGGTAGTGTGAGGAAAGGGGGAGTGTGGGAATGGTTAATGCATACAAAAAAGAGTTAGAGAGAATGTATAAGATCTAGTATTTGATAGCACAACAGAGTGACTATAGTCAATAATAATTTAATTGTACATTTGAAAATAACTAAAAGGGTATAATTGGATTGTTTGTAACACAAAGGATAAATGCTTGAAGTGATGGAAATCCCACTGACCTTGATGCGATCATTACATATTCAATGCCTATATCAAAATATATCATATACCCCATAAATACTATGGGTATATTACTGTATTACTATGTAATCACAGCAATTAAAAATAAAAAAATAATAATAATAGAGTTGGTGCCAGTAAAAAGATGAGAGAATGGATTGTAAATGAAGGATTGGTTCTGGAGCCTCAGGACTCAGAGAGACACAGAGCTCCAATACTGCCTTCTGGCAGTTTCTGGAAAACATTCCACCCACTGTACTGTGGCCATTATTTTAGAGTATGGGAATCCTTTTGTTTCCTAACAAAAAGTCATAATTTTTACATTTCTTTGTCATGATGTGAAAGGAACTGACTATTTCTTTCTCAGAACTCTGTGGCCCTTGTGAGTGAAACAGAGAGGACAGGCCATGCTTCAACATGAATGCAGCAGCATCCTTTGGAAACAATCTCAAGACCTAACTGAAAACCAATGTTTCTAATTTAAGTATGAGACAGTAATTACTCATACAGCCAGAGAGGATTCCAAGTCCCTGCCTATTTGCAGCACTATCTAAAAACAATCAACTCATCTTTCAAATCTGACCAAACTACAAATGGTATGAGAACTCCGTCGTTTAATAAGGATGTTCATTTTGGCACTCAGCAGCTTACGCATGGCTCGCAGATGGCATCTGTCTCGTTTTGCGTAATCCAATCATCCTGCACTACTGCGTCTCACACTTAGTCTCCAGGAGTAATTGAAAAGCTCACGGTGACGATTGTGTCTTCTTCCAGATGTCATCGCTATAAGGAGTGGGGTTTTCATCACCTCCTTGACGTAGGATGTGTACATGGCTCTCCAGGTCAAAGTTGCTCCAAGCAAGGTAAAGAGAAATTACTTCTTTGCATTGCCTTTCAGTGGCTGCCTAGCACTGGTGTAAATGAATATGTTCTATAAATGGCCTCTCTGTCAGTGGGCAACTTGTTTCACTTTTGGCTGGGTACCATACAGAAAACATTCTGCTGCACGGCTTGTATCTTGTGGTAATAGGGCAATATAAAGGCACCCATGCCCAAGAAAGGATTCTAAAACATGTAAATAGTGGCTGTTTAGAAGGCACCATTTTATTCAGAGGTGAGCTCTCTGGTGTTAACACCTGCACGTCTGCTATCGTTTTCTGAAATCATGACAGTTTGTTCTCAATCTTTTTTTCTTTCTTTCTTTCTTTTTTTTTTTTACAGGGAGTGGTTTTTATTTTTGTAACTTCTAAAGGGTGTGCAAAATTTTAAAGGCAAAGTATTGAAACATTTCAAGCTGTAGGTTTGTTAGTTTCTTTTTCCCCCCGAGGCTAGTGTTAATAGTTGTGTTTTACTTCAGTGTAAAAATACCCCTTAAAAAAAAATCAAAGAATCTAAAACAAGGAAATATGCAAAGCCTCAAAGCAGCTGTGTAAATTCACACAGGCTTTAGGCCTATAACGAGCCAGGCTTAAGGGAATGATAGTGGAAATCAGATTTTTACTTAAAAATTAAGTTACAATTACGAATGAGTGCTACATTCATTTTAGTAAAATATCAGCACCGTGTGTATTTCCTCAAGCTTTTTCTTTACACTGCCATCATTACCACATATGTCATCAGTGAGTAATGTTGAGCATGACAACAGCTAAGAAAAATTTTCAAGGTCAGTAAAAACATTATTTCAGGAAAAATATTTATTAAAAACTTATTTTTAAGGGGTTTTAAAATTTCATAATTTATGTATAGATTTGGGATTGAACTAGCAATAATAACTTCTGCTGAAGAGATAAAAATTAAAAGATAAAATCCTTTCTCTTAAGTAGCTTACACAAAGAATGGGGGTTCTATATTTAGTCGGGGCTTACACACACACACACACACACACACACACATTGCAGGGAAAATATCCAGATAGTTGCTGCAGTTCCTCACTATCTTAGAATTATCTGAGCTTCATGTGTAGAATTACAGCCTTAGAACATTAGAATAATAGTGAATATGTTTGAAATAGACAGGTTGTTGACTATCTGGACTCTCATAATACATCCCTATAAGTTATGAGTTAACTCTTCTTTTAAGTGCTTGTTCACTGTCAGTATTATCAGCACAATAATTACCGATATGCTCATAAATTAATAGTAATAGCAAAAGTGACCATCTAGAGATAACTCGAATACTCAACAAACATTTATTGAGTGCATGCAATGTGCCAGGCATTGGGCTAATTAAATCCCCCCTATCTCTACACTTTAAACGACAGAAAAGCTGACTCAAGGGAAAGAGTCATGGCTAAAGGCCATTTAACTAATTTGCTGTCTGGGAAAATAGCACAAGAACTGGGAAGAAAGCCCAAGTATGAGGACTGCTAAATTGTTCAGAATACAATGTATTCTACTCCTGTAGACGACATGTTTCCTAACTATGTTAAACTAATGTAAACTTTCCTCTGTAAAACAAATGTTGTAAAAATCTCAGAAGCACAACACATGCCTGCATATCCTCAGGGCTGTTCACCTGAACTGGAGAATTTCATTCATTCAGGCAATTTCAGAGGGAACTACTTATCAGTAGGATGGATCCTTTGCTGTGATTCTTCAGGTGAGAGAGTCATATCTCATGATTTCTCCAGGAATTGTCCAGAGAACTACAATGCAGGCTTTCCCATGGGGAGAAGAAAGAGAGAAAGTATTATCTATTGAGCACATATAGTACTTAATGTTAAGAATTGTACACATGTTCGGAATACAAATCCCTTATGAAACTTTACCTATAGATGAGTAGAACGAAACTCAGAAAGTAAGCAGCCAATGTTACACACCTGCCAGTCATTCAGATCACTGGGGGAGAAACTCCAGCATATCTGACTTAGAGTCCACATACTTTATTAATAGACTATGGTTCCGGCCAGGTGCGGTGGCTCATGCCTGTAATCCTAGCACTTTGGGAGGCCAAGCCAGATAGATCACTTTAGGTCAGGAGTTCAATACCAGCCTGGTCAACATGGTGAAACCCCATCTCTACTAAAAATACAAAAATTACCTGGCTGTGGTGGTGCACACCTGTAGTCCCAGCTACTCAGGGAGGCTGAGGCAAGAGAATCCCTTGAAGCCAGGAGGCAGAAGTTACAGTGAGCTGAGATTGTGTCACTGTACTCCAGCCTGGGTGACAGAGCAAGACTCTGTTTCAAAAAGAAAAAAAAGACTATGGTTCCTACTATAGTGGTCTTCTCTTCCATTATTTCTTTCCTTCCATCCATGATTATTATTCAAAATATATTTAATGAATACCTATGAAAGCCTGACCCATATTTTGGGGGCTGAAGAATTAAATGTGATCAAATCAGTGTCTGTCTTTTAGAGACTGGAGAAAGAAATGTATACCTCCAAAAGTAGGTATGCTACAATGCAAACATGATCAGATCTATAAGACAAATGTAATATTATGGAAACTATAAAAGAAAATAGAGATTGATTCTGTCCTGAAGTGAGGGGTGGAGTGAGAAGATGGTATATGAGCCAGACCTAGTGAATATAGTTACTTGCTCTGTAAAGAAGAGTGAAACTATTGTAGGCAATGGGAACATTCTGCTTTGCAAAATCACACAAGGGCTTCCAGTTTCCATAGAATAAATGGAGAAGGCTATAACAGAAGAACTAGGCCTAGATTTCACAAAAGAATTCTCCTAAGTCTTCAAAGATCACATACTCCCAATGCTACTTAAATCATTTTTTGAGTATAGGAAAACAAGAAAAGCCACAAGGAAGTTTTATGAAACAAGAAATATATTGTCACCTAAACTATGTAAGATAGCACAAAAAAAATTATAGATCAATCTCACTTATGAATACAGAAGTAAAAATCTAAACATATTAGCAAACAGAACCCAAGAACTCATCATAAAAATAAAACATCATGACCAAGTGACATTATTCCAAAAACATAAGGATGGTTCAATATTAGGTAATCTACTAACGTAATTTAGATGTTCATAAATCTAAGCAGAAAATCATATGATCATCTTCACTCATCTTCATAGATGCTAAAACTGCCTTTGACAAAAATTGGCAATCGTTCCTGAACCATTCCTGATTAAAATACTGAATAAAATAAGAACTTATGATTTTGTCTGATCAGATATATAACTGAAATATATATATATATAACCACACATGCACACACACATTGCAGTCCTAAAGCTGGTATATTACTTAATGGAGAATACTAGAGGTATTTACAGAAAGGCCAAGAACAAGGCAAGAATGTCCACTAACTCCACTACTATCTAAACATATGTTAGGGTCGGGCGCAGTGGCTCATGTCTATAATCCCAACACTTTGGGAGGCTGAGGTGGGTAGATCACCTGAGGTCAGCAGTTCCAGACCAGCCTGGCCAACATGACAAAACCCATCTCTACTAAAAATACAAAAAATTAGCCGGGCGTGGTGGCATGTGCCTGTAATCCCAGCTACTTGGGAGGCTAGGGCAGGAGAATTGCTTAAACCTGGGAGATGGAGGTTGTGGTGAGCCAAGATCTCACCATTGCACTCCAGTCTGGGTGACAGAGCTAGACTCCATCTCAAAAAAAAAAAAAAATTTTATATATATATATAAAATATATGTTAGAGATACTATTCCATTCAATCAGATCAGAACAAATGAAAGAGCTATGATAATTAAAATAGAAGTAAAACTATCTCTATTTACAGTTGATATCATAGTATATATGGAAAATCCAAAACAACAATGAAAACACTAACACAATTTTAAAAATCAGTAAGGTAATAGACTATTAAAATACAAAAATCAGAAGCCTTTCTATAAACAAACAATAGCTAGTTAGATAATGTAACAGAAGAGGAAACTTCAGTTGTATTAGTAGCAAAAAGAATTTATTTAATCATAAGCTTAACCGGAAGTGTGTAAAATCTATATGAGAAAAAAATTAACATACTCCTGAAAAATACAAAAGTGGACTTGAATAAGTTTGGGAATTTTTCTTGTTTTTGAATGGTACTCGTAAACATAATAAAGCTATCATTTATTCCCATCTTAATAAGTTTGGCATAATCTCAATAAAAATAACAAAGTTGTTTTTATAGAGCTAGTCAAGTAGATTTTGAAGTTTATATGAAAAAATAAAAATAGTTATGAGAACCCTAAAGAAAAGAAAAAGGAGAGGTGACTAGCCTGACTAGATATTTTTTAAGCAGTTTTATTGAGGAATAAATTAATATACAAAAAGTGTACTTATTTAATGTATACAAGTTTATACATTTGAACATTTGCAACACCTGTGAGACCATCACCATAATTAAGATAATAGACATATTTATCACCTCCACAAGTTTCCTTGTAAACGTTATAAAGTTTCCTTGTGCTCCTTTGATGGTTTCCTGTGTGTGCATGCGTGTGTGGTAAGAACACTTAATGCAAGCTCTATCCTTTTAACAAATGCCTTGCCAGATATTAAAACATACTATAAAGCTTCTATAATTAAAACAGTGTGGTATTGATTAATGAGTAGATAGTTCAATGGAGGCGAATAGAAAGTTCACAAATAGACAAACGTGTATATGAAAATGTAGTAATGAAAAAGACAATATCCCATTGGAATGTCATAAAGCAAGGAAGTATAAAAATGATGGGGATATGTAAAAAGAACACAGGTGGTATCTGGTAGGTGCTCAAATTGATCAAACTTGGGATAATTTGAGCATCAACAGGAATCATGATGTTAATTAATTATGGCACACAGAAAACAAAAAAGACCATAAGTTATCAAAAATAAATGAATAAAAAATAAATACATAAATTAATATGTAAGTTCAAGGGTAAGAAAGGAAATCTCTTCATGGAAGAATA